CAGGCTCGGAGCGGCCGAGCCCGGGGCAGCCGGGCCCAGAGCAGCCGGGTCGGGTGGGGCCAGGCCCGGAGCAGCGGCTGCCAGGCTGGGAGCGGCCAGGCCCGGGGGAGCAGGCGGGTCGGGTGCGGCCAGGCCTGGAGCAGCGGCTGCCAGGCTGGGAGCGGCCAGGCCCGGGGGAGCAGGCGGGTCGGGTGCGGCCAGGCCCGGAGCAGCGGCTGCCAGGCTGGGAGCGGCCAGGCCCGGGGGAGCAGGCGGGTCGGGTGCGGCCAGGCCCGGAGCAGCGGCTGCCAGGCTGGGAGCGGCCAGGCCTGGGGGAGCAGGCGGGGCGGGTGCGGCCAGGCCCGGAGCAGCGGCTGCCAGGCTGGGAGCGGCCAGGCCCGAGGGAGCAGGCGGGGCTGGTGGGGCCAGGCCTGGAGCAGCGGCTGCCAGGCTGGGAGCGGCCAGGCCCGGGGGAGCAGCCGGGTCGGGTGGGGCCAGGCCCGGAGCAGCGGCTGCCAGGCTGGGAGCGGCCAGGCCCGGGGGAGCAGCCGGGTCGGGTGGGGCCAGGCCCGGGGAAGCGGCTGCCAGGCTGGGAGCGGCCAGGCCCGGGGGAGCAGGCGGGACTGGTGTGGCCAGGCCTGGAGCAGCGGCTGCCAGGCTGGGAGCGGCCAGGCCCGGGGGAGCAGGCGGGTCGGGTGCGGCCAGGCCCGGAGCAGCGGCTGCCAGGCTGGGAGCGGCCAGGCCCAGAGCAGCAGCAGCCAAGTCCAGAGCAACTAGGTCGGGAGCGGCAGTGACCAGACCCGGAGCAGCTGGTTGTGGAATGAAACAGAGCAACAGAGGCCAGGCCCTGAGCAGCCAGGCCCAGAACAGCTCGCTCCTTGCCTGCCCCTGCCCCACAGCTGCTTCTCAGACATGGCTGGAAACTTTCGTGGAAACTTGAGGGTATGCTGAATCAAGTGATGAAGGCTTAGATCTGGATGTGTTGAGTTAGTTTAGGACTGGGGTGTTGATCTGTGAGTGCCTTGGGTGGGGCCTGGATGAGGCTAGTGGACCTATTGGGAAATGTCTTTTGTGTGAAGTGTATCATTGGGCATGTGGAGGTATTATTGATATGAGAAAATGCTAAGTAACTGATTTACTATCTGAAAAGGGATTTACTATTGGGGAAATTGAGGGAAGAAGAGACTGAACATAAACTGCACCTATGGATGAGGACAATGGGGGATGGGGAGGGGGCGGAGGGTGGGGTGGGAACCTGGTGGAGGGGGGAAGAAATGAGGAACCTTTGTAATAATATGAACAATAAAGATTGATTAATAAAAAAAAAAAATAAAAATAAAATTAAAAAAAAAAAAAAAAGTCCTTTCTTGGGCAAGAAGGCCACGTGCTGGCACCTTGAAAGGGTAGTCAGTGGTCACCAGACTTTGTTTATTGATACTGAGGAGGATGGTTTGACATTGGAAACACATTGTTTATCCTCACGAAGCCAGAAGAGCAAATGTTTCCCATTGAAGAACAGAATACAACCTACTTTATTCTTTGGCCTTTTAAGTTTGTCTTAACATCTGTAAAATTTCAAGTTCTGGACATTGTAATTAGCATTCAAGAAATGGAACATTTCACAGGCGTGTGTGTGTGTGTGTGTGTGTGTGTGTGTGCGCGCGCGCGCGCGCGCGCGCGCGCCCTCATGGGTGTTTTCTTTCTCTGTTCACCTTATCACAGCTGACTGGCAACTTTACTGCAAGATTTCCCAGTGACCTTGATTTCCTATTTTACCCACCTCTGGTTTGTGCTTTCCTTTCTCTGGGCTTCATCCCAGCGCAGGAAATATGGAACAGTTTAGTGATTTCCAGGGAAGTCCAGAAGAGGAAGAACCCAGGAAGAGGCTTATACCCATGATTGTCAAATGCCACCTGAAACTCTTGGGGAGAGACTGTGGAGTATGGCGAATGCAAAGTGCATTTAGACAAGTGGTCTCTCCACCTAGAGCTTTGCCTGGTTGTGTTCCCAAGGGAAATTCTATAAATACAACCGCCTCGTGGATAAAACTGCCATGCCTCATGCTTTATGAGGAGTAAAACAAAGCTCGCATGAGTGTGTAGGGTGGGGTGGGAGGGAATGGGTCCTCTGCTCGGTGAAACTCAGTCCACCCAGTGAGTTTTAAATTCATCCACGTTGCTGCCATTTGCTATGACTAGAAAAGATTTGGGCTTAAGGAACTTGAACAATAAAGCTAAACACCCAGACGTTTCCTATTGATGATAACCTGCTTTGGGTTAGTATCTCCCATAGTGAGCCCTGTGAGGAACCAAAAAAGTGAGTATTGTCTTGTGTCCAGAGACTTACTCGGAAGTTGGGTTTTTGTATCAGGTCCACATGAGAAGGGAGGGCTGACCCATGTGGTTGGTCACAGGGAAGAAGGATGTTCAGAGGCCTCTGGCCTCCAGACTGTACTTTGTTGCCACAGATAGGCCGGGACGATTGAACAGAGGGATGAGCATGAGCCTTCCAGTCCAGAGGAGCCGGGCAGAGGGTGGGAGTCTGCTTACATCTCTAATGATGGCATGTGACCAGCACTGTACACGGGTGAAGTACTGAAGTATCCTGGTTCCTGGGGAGGGCAGCCTGGGGTACTGGAGGTATTCTGTAGCTTAGAGGGGCTGGCATCACCCTCAGGGCTGGGTAGTACACTGCGGTCCCTGCACGCGTCTTTTGGAAGTTGGTAAATGCTCGGTCTTTATGAGGAGGAGGGGGTGCAGGAGGCCCCAGAAGGCCTGCTGGCCCAGGACATGAAGGGTTTTGTTAGAAGGAAAGACTGGTGATCTCGGCTGCCTGAGAAGCTAACCAGGGGCTTTGCCTAAGTTTACTAGATGCAAGGTTAGGTCAGTTTACCTGTCCAGGCCTCATTTCTTCATCTGTAAACTGGGCATGAAGGTAATTCATATTCCATAGACTGCTGTGTAAAATAATTTATGTTAGCTTATTATCCCAAATAGCAGATGACCCCAGAGTCATTTCACTTTCAAAGGCATTTTTGCCAGTTTGGGGAGGAGTTGGTGGTAGGCAGCATATCATCTTCCTCCGTTTTTCTCAGTGTTGTTTTGAGAGCGACCAGCAAGGCAGAAGGGCAGAAAGGAGAAAGGGTGCAGGAGGACAGGACAGGCGGCCTTGTGGGAAGCAGGTAGCTCAGATACCTGAGAGCAGCCGGCCAGAAACAGATAGGAGCTGAGGGCTGAACTTAATGAGTGACCCTGTCACCTTTCGAGGAAGGAAATCCCGACTCACTGCTGCTAAGCAGTGTTTAGTTTGATGAAATCTCGAGGGGAAGCGTTCTGGACAGGGATTTCAGACTCCAAAGCAGCAGTCTGCCTGCCTGCCTGCCCACCCGCCTGCAGGCGCGCTGTGGGGTGTCAGCCGACAGACCACCTAGAGATGTTTACCCTCTCTGACCTCCCTGCTGAGCTGGCAAACCCAGAAGGTGCCCCGTCTGTTCCCTGCCTCAGACCATGTGTGAATTTAGATCCTCTGAGAGGTGCAACACTTGGCACCAACACAGCTGAAACTCTCATTACTAGGAGTAGCTCAGTGGTGTCTGCACTGCATCTTACACAAATAACAGCAGGAGAAAATGTATTTAGTGCACTTGCTGGAAGAACAATCCTTTCTAATAAGGAGGGAATATGCTAATTGATCCTCATACCATTGAAAAGATGGCAGTGCCCACAGCCAAAGAGGGATATGCTAATTGACTGCCACGCCTTCAAATATGGCGGCACCCATAGCCACAAGATGCCAGTGCCCAGTCCCTTCAGCCTCGCTGGGGTGGCAGGCATGCAGCAATGCCTGTCCTGCCCTCAGGCAGGCTCGGCTGCTCCATGCACCTGCCTCCAGAGTCCCCTAGTCCTCTCATCCCCCCCAGCTGCCCAAGGCTGGCCTGAGGCACAGGCAAGCCTCAGATGGCAGCTACCCAGGTGCCCAGGGCCAACTGAGGCTTAGGTAACCAGGGCTGGCTGAAGCTTGAGCTGCCAGCAGTGGCAGCAGCAGAGGTGTGATGAGGCATTGCCTTCCCATGATTGCCAGGTCACCTCCCGCCCCTGAGGGCTCCAAGACTGTGAGAGGGGGCAGGCCGGCTGAGAGACTCCTCCTTCAGTGCATGAATTTTCATGCACCGGGCCTCTAGTCTTAGGAATAGCGAGGAATTCAGACAACACTGCTCCTCCTGCCACTTGGGTGACTGGCTGAGAGCATGTGCCACTTGCCTCAGTCTTTACTCCCATTCCATCCTTTTTAAAGTCAGAGCTGGAGTTAAAAGGCCTGAGAAGAAGTGAGGGTGGAAGGTGGGGCAGGCATAGGGGGCTCTTTCGTGTTGGAAGAGGGTTATGGCTGCAATATGATGGTCTCTGCTCCCACTGTGGTCTCCTAGTTCCTGGCCTGCGTTCTCTGTCACCCTGCCCCCTCCTGGTTCCAGGGCGCAGAGCCTGCCCTGGCTGCTGCCCACAGGGTGTCCTAACCAGTTGGGGAGCTGATCATAAGCCTATCTCTGTGCCAGGTGGCTGTGAGTCCCAGGTTGGACGTCTAGGGGAGATCACTGATGGTTTACCTTCTGCTACAGGGGCCTGTGATTAGAGCAGAGAGAGGCTCGTAGGTCCTAAAGGATAGGGCATCTCTTTATCCCTCAAAGATGGGGTCCCCCCAGGCACGTGGAGACAGTCCATCTCGGTGTGGGCAGGCAGGTGTAGTGCTCTGCAGTGCGGGCTGTCCCTGGGCTCTTTTATTTTTTATTTTTTAATTTTTTTTATGTTGCCAATTTTAAATAGTTTTATTTAAGACATCGCATTTTCCACTTTACAATACAGCTATAAAGTGCATTATATTGTGCACAGTCCGTATTCAAGTATCAAGAATGCCCAGTTATTTACTATTCAGCAGCTTAACTTTTAAAACTGCCATGGAATTTGCTACAAATTTGGGTCCTTCAAATATTTTGTGTGGAACAATGCTAGATCTATGCTTAAGCTGGCTTAGTCCATCTCTTCAATGGTGGGCCCAGAGGAGGCACCGCCAGAGGGAGGCGCTCCGCCACTGGGGAAGCCCCCAGGCATTCCTCCTGGCATGCCCCCTGCACTCTGGTACAGCTTGGTAATGATGGGGTTGCAGACCTTTTCCAACTCTTTCTGCTGGTGTTCAAATTCTTCCTTTCCTTCAGTCTGGTTCTTATCAAGCCAGTTAATGATTTCATTGCACTTGTCAAGAATCTCCTGTTTGTCCTCATCGTTGATCTTGCCTTGAAGTTTCTCATCCTCAACAGTTGCTTTCATGTTGAATGCATAGGATTCAAGTGAATTCTTGGAAGACACCTTGTCCTGCTGCTTCTCATCTTCCGCTTTGTACTTCTCAGCTTCTTGGACCATGCGCTCAATGTCTTCCTTGCTCAGACGACCCTTGTCGTTGGTGATGGTAATCTTGTTCTCTTTTCCTGTACTCTTATCCACAGCAGAGACATTGAGGATGCCGTTGGCATCAATATCAAAAGTGACTTCAATATGAGGAACACCACGAGGTGCAGGAGGTATGCTTGTGAGCTCAAACTTGCCAAGCAGGTTGGTGTCCTTGGTCATGGCACGCTCACCTTCATAAACCTGGATGAGCACGCCCGGCTGGTTGTCGGAGTAGGTGGTGAAGGTCTGCGTCTGCTTGGCGGGGATGGTGGTGTTGCGCTTGATCAGGACTGTCATGACGCGGCCAGCCGTCTCAATGCCGAGGGAGAGAGGGGTGACATCCAGCAGCAGCAGATCTTGAACATTCTCAGATTTGTCTCCGGAGAGAATGGCTGCCTGGACAGCTGCACCGTAAGCGACAACCTCATCAGGGTTGATGCTCTTATTCAACTCTTTTCCATTGAAGAAGTCCTGGAGGAGTTTCTGAATCTTGGGGATGTGAGTAGAGCCACCCACCAGGACAGTATCATGGATCTGGGATTTGTTGAGCTTGGCATCCCGAAGGGCTTTCTCTACAAGGTCCAGGGTGCCACGGAAAAGGTCAGCATTCAATTCTTCAAATTGGGCACATGTGATAGAGGTATAGAAGTCGATTCCTTCATAGAGTGAATCAATCTCAATACTGGCCTGGGTGCTGGGAGAGAGGGTACGCTTAGCGCGTTCACAAACAGTACGAAGGCGACGGACAGCCCTCTTGTTCTCACTGATATCCTCTTGTGCTTGCGTTTGAACTCGGCAATGAAATGGTTGCCCATTCGGTTGTCGAAGTCTTCTCCACCTAAGTGGGTGTCCCCAGCTGTGGATTTGACCTCAAAGATGCCATCTTCAATTGTGAGGATTGACACATCGAAAGTGCCACCTCCCAAGTCAAAGATCAGCACGTTTCTTTCAGCTCCAAGCCTTTTGTCTAGTCCGTAACCAATAGCAGTGGCAGTTGGCTCATTGATGATTCTAAGTACATTGAGACCAGCAATAGTCCCAGCATCTTTGGTGGCCTGACGCTGAGAGTCATTGAAGTAAGCAGGCCCTGTGACAACAGCATTGGTAACAGTCTTCCCAAGGTAGGCTTCGGTGATTTCCTTCGTCTTTGTCAAAACCATGGCTGACACCTCCTCTGGATAAAAGCTTTTTGTCTCTCCCTTGTATTCCACTTGGACCTTAGGCCTGCCAGCATCATTCACCACCATGAGAGAATGAAAGGCCAGTGCTTCATGTCAGACTGGACAATGGCATCATCAAACCTACGTCCAATCAAGCGCTTGGCACCAAAGACCATGTTGGTAGGATTCATTGCTACTTGATTCTTTGCTGCATCACCGATCAATCGTTCAGTGTCAGTAAAGGCAACATAACTCGGGGTGGTTCGGTTTCCCTGATCGTTGGCAATTATTTCCACTTTTCCATGCTGGAATACACCCACACATGAGTAGGTGGTGCCAAGATCAATGCCAACTGGTTGCTGGTGTGCACGTTCGGCTGGCACAGATCGACCAGAGCTGGTGTCCCCGCGTTCCATAAGCCCTGGGCTCTTTTATGCACTTAAGTGTAGGTCAACTTGTTTAAGCCGGGTTGTGAGGTAAACTGCACTCTCACTCTTTTCTTCGGTAGAATTACTTGCCCCAAGTTACAGGGCTCATGGGGGTGTGGATGGGGGTGGGGTGTGCGCCATGGAAGGCAAATCCTGGGAGAAAGCAGAGCATTGAGGTGGCTGTAGGACCGTTGTCACGGGGCCCTCGGTGGGTTTGACATCACTCTAAATTAAGCAGGCAGCTTTTGGGGATTGCCTCCTATCTGGTGAAGTGCATCTCCCAGATCCCTGATTGAAGGTGTGTGTGTGTGTGTGTGTGTGTGTGTGTGTCCTGACATGGGGGCTGTACATTCTCTCATTGTTGTCATGGTGGGTGGACCAGGCCCTTCGCCTCCTGTGTGAAGTCCAGACAGCCTCACCCTGCTCCAGGCTTTCACTTCTCTGTGAGATGAGACCAGAGGATGAACCAGCCGGGAATGTGTCTTCCTGCCACAGTCCGCCTCAGACCAAGGATGGAGGAGTTGGATTGTAGCGATCTGGCTCCGCCATGGAAATGGCCGATAAGCTTCCTGTCCGCAGTGGCTGTGTGGCTTCATGTTGAAAACAGCTGCTCCTGCTCCTGCTCCTGCTCCTGCTCCTGCCCTGCGTGCTGCAATGATGGGCCCACAGGAAGCTCCTCTCCAGCCTGCCAACCATTTCCTCCCATGTGGTACCTGAGGCTGTGGCCACTCCCCACAGACCTCGGCACCAGGCCTTGGATCTCTCACTTCCTGGCCTTGGTCCCCAAATGTCCTCACAAAGCTACCTCTGTGTGCTCCCTTCTTCTCCCCCCCCCCCACTCCCTTTTAAAAAATGCCATTTTGTAGAAAGTGCCTTGCCCGTGAGTCCTGATGAGGCTGGGAGTGCAGGGGCGCATTGCTGGGACAGGAGGTGAGTTGCTGGTACTGCTTTCTCGCAGATTGAATCCGTGTACTACGTTGTGGTGGGGGACATTCCTGAGGGGTCCAAGCAGCTGCTCCTCCAGAGGGTGTTGGAGATGCCATGTCCTGTCTGCACCGTGTCCTTCAACGCCAGGGATGAAGGCACCGTGGCTTTCTTAAAGGACCTGAGTGCCAAGGCCTACGGCAGGTAGGTAGAAATGGACCCTGGAGGGACTGCAGGGACATGGGCCTACCCCAGTGGTTGGCAAACTCATTAGTCAACAGAGCCAAATGTAAACAGTACAACGATTGAAATTTCTTTTGAGAGCCCAATTTTTTAAACTTAAACTATATAGGTAGGTACATTGTTATAATCTTAATTAGGGTACTCCTAAGCTGGCCTTCGCTAAAAATGTCCTCAATCTGATTGAGGTACGTTCGCTGAGGCGGATCCCTTCCAAAGAGCTGCATGTGGCTCGCGAGCCATGATTTGCCGACCACTGGCCTAACCAGCCCGCACTGTGCTCTACCCGTCTCTCCAGCCATCTGAGTCTCCAAGCACCTTTTCTTCTCCACCCTGTACTAGTCTTGCCTTTAAAAAAAAAAAAAAATCCACACTCGAGGATAGTTTTCCATTGACTTTTAGAGAGAAGGGGAAGAGAGAGGGAAAGACAGAGAGAAACATCAGTGTTTGAGAAACACATTGATTAGTTGCCTCCTATTCGAGTCCTGACCAGGGCCCGGGCCAGGAGCCTGCAACCGAGGTATGTACTCTTGTGTGGAATCTCAGGCCGATGCTCTATCCACTGAGCCAAACCGGCTAGGGCAGTCTTGTCTTGTTTTTCTGTACTTTGGGTGCTTGGACATTGTGGGACCTTGCTGACCTTGCAAAGAGTGCCTCTCCCAGGGCTGGCTGGTCCTGGAGCTAGTGAGTGACCCCTGTGCAAGCTGTGTGGGCGGGCTGCCCGTCCTCTTGGGCACCATGTTAGTTCTGCCTGCCACAGCAGAGTAGCACAGGCTGGGGCCTAAACAGTAGACATTGATGCCTCACTGTGCCGGACGCTGCAGTCCAAGATCAAGGTGCCTGACGATTCAGTTTCTGGAGAGAGATCTCTTTCTGGCTCGCAGACAGCTGCCTTCTTGCTGTGTCCTTTATGGTAGGGAGGGAGAGGAACAGAGAGAGAAGGGGTGGGGAATCCACAGCATGTGAGCTCCCTGGTGTGTCTTTTCAAAAGGATGCTGATCTTATGGGATCAGGACTCCACCCTGAGGACCGCTTTACCTTCATCATAGGTTACTTTACAGGCTTCCCCGTATGAATGGAAGGGTGGACACAGTGCACTTCACAGCGGCACCTGTGAGTGATGGACTGTCCGTGGCAGTTGAAGTGATCCGCTGGCCTCATCATATCTGGGGCCTGTAGTGTGTGAGTTGAAGGCCTGGGGAGAAAGGCCGGCTGCTTGAGTGGGCACCAGGAGAGGGCCTGGCCTTTTGCAGGTTATCTTGTCTTGAGACGAGTGCAGTGCTGCTCAGGGTTTCTTCTCCAGTTGAGTTGCTCATCGTGTTTGTGTGGGGAGCGTGTTCGCCATCGGAGGCCTGGGCTTTACCTTGCAGGCGGATGCCACACAACGCAGGGGAGCCTGGCAACATGCAGTTAGCCCTGCCTCCTGCTTAAGAACTATTGAGGGGGCTTGATTAAAACGCAGATGTCGTGGCTGCAGCCCCAGAGATGCTGTCAGGAGGGAGGGAGGCAGGGACTCCTGGGGGTTCTGAGGGACACTGCTGTGACTGCTCTTAAGCACTTGGGAGAAATTGGCTTCCGTTCTGAGTGCCTGCCCCCCCCCCCCCCCCCCCGCCAAGTACATTAAGGGCTCACTGCCCCGTTTTGCTATTGGAGACAGAAAAAGGCAACTGGCACGGCCACCTTGCTTGTCCTCTTCTTAGCTCAGGTGGGCATCTCCTCTGGGCAGGTGAGTTCACTCTGACCTCTAGCACTTCACAGTTTAACAATCTGATCTGTAGGCCATGCACCGGGGAGTGCGAGTGTTGAGGAAGAGGGCAGGTGTAGACTGCCCTCCCGTTGCTGCTCTGGCCCTCAAGAGTGAGCCCAGCCCATAGCCAGCCCCGCTCCTGCGCCTCACGGCGTCAGGGCCCTGGGTCCCACTTAGTCTCCTTGCACTTTTGGCTCTTGAGCCCCATATAAAGTGCAGTAATTGTCCAACCATAAGGGCATGTCCTGAGCGTCTCAGCTTGCGGGGATCTGGACTCTGGACGCCCCTGTGCCCGAGGGCAGAGCCCCAGCCCTCAGGTGTGTGCTGTGCTCTGTGGGCTTTTAATGGTGATTGACTTTCTGCAAAACGAGGCTTATTAGTCAGAGGGAATGTCTGTCTTGCTTTCTTTTCTAATCTGGAACCACATCAGGTACCACCCCTTGGCATTCAGGGGGTGGGCCTGCCAGGAATAGCTTGGCATCTCTTCTCCGCTCTACAGGATGCTGGCCATTTCTGCTCATGGAGAAGTCCCAGCGGGAGGCAGGCACAGCCAGGCTGAGTCCATTAGCCTCATGAGGAGCTACCGGACAAGGATGACTATTCACTGCCATCATGCTAGTGTCACCTGAAACCCTTTAGAAATAGGTGGGAATGCCCAGCTAGTGTGGCTCAGTAGTTGATTGTTGACCTGTGAACCCAGAGGTCATGGCTTGATTCCCGGTCAGGGCACACGCCTGGGTTGTGGGCTCAATCCCCAGTTGAGGACATGAAGATCAATGATTCTCTCTCATCATTGAT